TGGGTGGGTAATGGTAGGTTTAATCAGTTGCCAGCATTTGATAGCTCTCAAAGTTCTGAACATTCTCTGATAATGGTGATATTTTCTGCAGCTGGAACCCCCAATGATGTCTTCATGGGAGAAAATACGGGTACAGCATGATACCATCATTTGATTTGTAATTGCCAAGGCAGTTGGCTAAAATTGAAAACTCTGGTGGCAATATCTCAGCACCAGTGTTTTTGAGAGAGATAAGAAGTCATTGATTTAACTTGCTAGCAACTGCGTGAAATACCAGTTTTGGATGAAGACCTTTAAATAATACAAAATGAGTATAATCACTTGTGTTATGACATCACAGACATAGCCCATCCTTTTACGTGCACAACTAATACTTAACACAAAGAAAATGAATTGAAGTTTATATATTTTAGATCTATTTACAGTTACAAAAAAGCATAATCTATTTCAATTATTTTCTGCAATTTCATTTAGTGCATGCTGCATGTAATGTACATACAATATGTAAGAATAAAATATTCTCATATGAATACCTAATTTTGCAATTTGTATATTTTATAATTTATGCTGCATATCTACAGCCCAGCCCTATGTGATCATAGCTTTAAGTGGACAAAGGTGAGAATAGCATCTTATAAAAATAAAGTGACTGCTTTTTGGCTTGGCATTTACTATTATTATAGCACAATTGTCTAGAATACATATATTCATAGTTACAGTTCTATCTGGAGTTGCACCTAACTAAACTTTTCTTTACAACTTCACAGAACAATCACAACACAACTTTTGTGCCAAATGACTTTAAGGCCACAGTAAATATATTCCTAAATCAGACTTGGAATTGGGCACACAGTGGGTGATAACCGACCCCGCACATAAAAGTGGTGTTGTTTTTTACCACCGCCACCAGTTAGATTCTACCTTTCATATTTCCAATAAAATATACCAGAATAAAAAGGAGACTCTTATAGGCTGCTATAGGAAGCAAGCTACTTTTAATGCATGAGGCTTAATATTGAGATATAATATTTACTTTGTAGGTATGTTCTGGTCTAGCATCAGTATTAATGAAACATATGACATTTTCCATTTACCAGGAATGTTCTATTGTGTGGTAAGATTTCTTCAATTGGTGCTATAAACTTTTATTTTTTTCTAGCAGTCATTATCATTTGATCAATAATTCCATACACTACCTGATTTTTAGAGGTGATAATCATATAACTTGCAAGCATTGCATAGTGTATGGTCAGTATAAGGCAATAAAAAGTGCAAATTCTGAGGACTGTGCATAGAAAATGTGATAGAGTAAAACATTCATAAACAAAATATTCTTTGAGGCTCTCACTTTAAATACTTTGAAGTAACCACTGATGCACGTCTATTATATGTAAAAGCAGAGCCACTTATGTTATGTAATTGAAGATAAAAGACACATTTACTGAAGCAAAGTTATGGAATTTCAGAAATTGCAGCTTTTGACATTAAAAAATAAAAAACACATTAGGATTTATCATTCAGATAATCATCCATAATTTTAGAACTATTAATTATACAATATTTTGTCCATCCATACATGGTATTTGAGCTAAAGGGGGGGTTATGTAAGACCCTGGAATTTAGCCTTGAATTAGGGCAGCAAATAAAAATTAGGATAAAGACAGATATGGATATTTAAATTAATCCTGCCATTGCTGAGCAGGGCTGACATATGGGGGGGGGGGCTGGGCAATTGCCCAGGACCACTACCTTTGTAGGTGCCACAGAAGCTTCCCCCTGCCCTAAATCTCCCCTGCTCATGAAGAGCTGCCCCGTTACAGCGGTAGTATATATACCCTCCTGACCCAGTTTCCATTGCAAAAAATACTTTGCTGAAGAATTTCTCTCATTCAACTCTTGAGAGGTCTGTTTTACTTTTTAGATAAATAAAAGGTAGTAGAGCATTCTGTGCCTAATGAACTGGGTTGTGTCCGAGTACTTGCAATATTCTAGCCAAGGGAACCCTGGTATACCTCTTACCCAGGCCAACAATGTATCCAGATCAGGTCCTGTTGCAGAGTCAACAACAAAAACAGTAATGATATAATTTAGGTAGACCAGACTCTAAGTACATATATACTCAGATTAACCTGATTAGCCATTTGCTGGTGTCAGAATTATTACTATATACATCTGAAAACTGTCTAAAGAAATCTGTTTTATCTGTAAGTATTCAAAGCTCTATTATTTTTCAATAATAAATCTACTTTCGACCAGCCCCGTGACCAAAGTCTATTTTCTGTGTATGATACTGTGGTTTAAAAGAGATATCCTAAAGTTTAATATTGGTAATATCTATATATTTATATTTTTAAAGGAGAGATTCCCCCACCGTAGTTGTAAAAGGTGGGGACAAAGTGAACCAGGGGTAAAAATACGACTAACATTTCCTGACCCTGTGATCTGCTGCTCTAAATGTTCAAAACCAAGCACTTCGTCTTTTAGTCCTCCTGTAGCCCACTGTGCACAATGAGAGGGGTTACTAAAGGAGTAATGCTCACTAAGGACAGGTTTGACAAGTTTAGTTTTAAATATAATTTTCTTTCTCCGGCTTGATTTTGAAGTAGTTCTTGGCAATTACTAGACAGGGGATATTGACTAGCCCATACCAGTAACGCTCAAGAATGCCAGTATTACCCTAATACCATAAAGTGGTGGGTAGGTAGAAGATATTCCATTAGACATGAATGTGGAGTCTTTAAATACACTGACAGAGAACAGAGAGTGAAGCTGTGGTACAATGGCAGATAATAAGTGGAGGGGTGCAGAAGTGTTATTTTTCTTCTCCTTTACTTCCTCTAACCCTATTATACTCACAATGTCTCGTGAGGAATTATTCTTTACACTGATAGGGTACATTTATATATAAGGTTATATTTATGTGAACCAAATATTGTTTGAGAGCTCTATATATTTTTTTTATTATAAAACTGTACATTTTTACTATTGTAACTTTATTTTGTGTTCTTAATTTCTTTTACATTTTACTGTGTGGTAAAGCTCTTTACCAACTAATAAATCTTGCAGAAGGACAAAGTGCTGATTACCACATGTAAACTGTTTTAACCAGTTGACATCCGCGGTGTTAAACCCCCTTCCCATCCAGGCCATTTTTCAGTATTCAGCGCTGCGGTACTTTGACTGACATTTATTCCGTCATGCAGCGCTGTACTGAAATTAATTTTATACCCTTTTTTGGGGACAGATAGAGCTTTCTTTTGGTGGTATTTATTCACCACTGGGGGTTTTATTTTTTTACTATATTAAGGAAAAATTACCGAAATGTAAAAAAAAAACAGTTTCCCCTATATTAAATGATAAAACATTTATTATTACCCAATTTTTTGGTAAAATATAAAAGATGGGGTCACGTCGGGTAAAAAGACACTAAACATGTCAAGCCTTAAAATTGCATGCGCGCGCGAAACCTCAAAAAACGATAATACCCAAAATTGGCCCAAGGTGACGCTTTAAAAGCTGTTACCGCTCATCAGTTTAGTGTTATCAGTGATTGATGGCCCTAAAATGATTGCTCTCACTGCGACGTTTGCGGCGATATGTAACATGTGTAGCGCAATTGTAATTTTTGCGCGCTGGGGCACCGGACGCGTATTTACGTTTATAGGCGCGTAAATGTGGGGGTGGGGGAGTTAAACATTTTGGGGGTTTTTTTCCCCCTTTTTTATATGTGACTTTTATTTTATTTTACTTTTTTATGTTACTTTTATTTTTTTTTATTTTTATATTTATTTTTTTGCACTTATTGTTATTGCTATTATATAGGGGGATAACAACCCCCTATATAATAGCAAAGGCACACTGACAGGTCCTCTTTATGGAGATATTAGGGGTCTCTAGGACCCCTAATATCACCTATGGACCCCAAAAGAAGCTGATAAAGCAGAGATCTGCTTTATCAGCTTCTTCTCTCTGGCAATAGCAGCCAGATGACTGACAGGTGAATGCGGAAGTGATGTAATACACATCACTTCTGCATTCACAGCCGCGAACGAGCACATATAGGCGATCGGCGGGCTATGGACCCGCTGATCGCCTATATGTGAAACACCCGGTAACGGGTGTGTGCAACGGTCGGGTCTTTTCTGACCGTGCGTGCCCGCTAGGGGGCGCGCGCGAGCAGAAAAAAATTGCCGTCTGGAGACGGCAACCCGCAAATGCAGCAGTGCCGTCCGTCCGTTTTTTTACTACGGGCGGACGGCAAGAGGTTAATAGTGCATTGCTTTGCCTTTATGTATTTTAAGAGTTTTTAAATAAACTAAATAAACTGTACAAATTATTGCTATTGGGCAAAGCTGGAACAAATTAAATTAGACATGGTGTCTATTGCAACCAGTCACAAGTTAGCTTTTATTTTCTAATATGCCCTTAAAGTGGACCTTTTCCCCCTTTGACTAAAAATCACATCAGCATACAGCTCTGCATGCAGATATGAAATCATCTTACATTCATTAGCTAAACAAACCTATTTTTATTTCACTTACAATTACTGTTTTTCCACTTCCTGGTCCACTTTGGCACACATGATGTAATCGTGCCCAAGCATTGCATCCTGGGAAGATTACATCAGCAGTGCATTGCTGGGAAATCCCATCTGTAATCAAATGAGATTTTAGGCAAAGGGTATTTTCCTTCTCTGGGATGATGTGCATGGTTACATGTCCTAGTAACATTCCAAAAAGGAAGGAAGTAAACGGAGATCTAGTAACCTGCCATCAGTTAAAATGGCCACTGTCAGAAGACTGGGAAAGAAAAGAAAAATAAGATATGCAAAGAATAAAAAGCCTGCAATTATATAGAAGTATCTGTGTGTAGATTGTAATTACTAAACATTTCTAAAGGTGCCTTTGTTGTTATTTTGAAGATATGGGTAAAGCTTGAATCCAATTTACCAACATATCACACACTGCCGTAAGAAAATCAACATATATACTTGTCTAATATCTACCCTGTATACAATTCATGGTATCTGTCACACTGTGACATTGTCCGATTAGTCTGTATTAAAGCCCACATAAAAGGATGGTATTTATAGTGATGTCAAACCTACACCTTAGGTTCAGATAAACTCATTTTTGTGAGAACTTTGGTTCAAAACTCCAACAGTGCCTTAGACTTGCATACAACCACATTTAAATGTGGGAGTTTTTCGAAAATAACACTGCTGAAATAATACTCTATAATCATGTATAGTCAATGGCACTTTGCGAGAACAATTAGTAATACCGTACTTAAAAACATATTCAGCTGTGGTTTACTTGGCACATTCATGTGTCTCAGACCTTTTGCCACCTCTTACAATCTATAACAAGAAAAATATTATCCTTAGAAAACTACTCTGCATGCATACTCTCAGCTACAATGGCAATTTTAAATACAAGGTGCACCTTTTGTTATTTGTAAACCTTGAAAAAAACAAAAACAAAATTAAAACTATCATCTTGGTCAAAAGACGTACCAACGCATTGGAGATGTTACAACATAGGCTGAATTTTCAATGCATGAAGCAATACATACACTATCGCCCTATTTAATAAGACAAAGAGCAATGTGCAAAGTGCAGTGGACACAAGGCCCAATCACTAGTCATCCTACATTAGTCTGACAACACTAAACTGCTGAAAGTTTATGTTTCATAGGCTGCTATCAGTAACTGCACATAAGTGCTCTTTGCACTGTTATATAAGGGTTATATGAGTAAATGATAATTACTGAGAGATGCATGTATATATACTGCATTGTGAAAAGACAGGATATGATGTATACATCGACAGAAAGAAAATGTGCAAATTGTATATTGCAATGGGATTCTGTATTGATCTTGACATTGTTCAGCATGCAAGATGTATCACTGTTGGGATCTTTGTGTTTCTTGTTTATGTTGTATGCACATTATGGCTAATGGCCTTGGCCTGTATTTTTCTTCAAGTTCACTGACATTTTGATCTATAGAAAAAAAGAAGAATTTTTAATGTAACTAGAAAAAAACAAATGAATAAGATTCTCCAAGTTGGCAAACACCTTCCTCTTAGACTATAGAATCATGTTAATTTCCCAAGGAGAGCCAAGAGAACCAAAGGCTGGGTTAAAGCAAACCTGTGACAAAGCTATAGACTAGGCTATATTGGCTATATAACTGACGTTAGGTTCACATGTTGGCATTTTTTCTTGATGTGTCTTTCATTTAAATCAATGAAAGAAAATCAATATGCATGTCAATGCAAGCATTAAGATGCAAGTCATGATGCCCATTAATGTACGATAATGTGAATTGACATGCATTTTGATGCATTGTCTTTATGTAATGGAAAATTCTTCAGGAGAAAAATGAGTTGGAATAAATTGGCTATAAATGAGCTTTAAATAAGCCTTCACTGAACTCTGTAGCTGCAAGCACTCTGGAGCAATTTATTCTCAAAGTTCACAGCAGAAACTTTGATGTCAACCAAGTCATTATCTCAGCAAATATGTCCTCCCCTGCTCTCCCCTTTATGCAATGATTTAGAGCCTTCCAATCGCCTAATCTCTAATGAAAACACAGAGCAGAAGCTCTGGAATGGGGAGGAGAGTGAACTGAGCAGTCTGAGAGAACAACTTTAGTGCTTCTGCTTAGATCTTTGAGAATAAACTGCTTAATAGTGCCTGCAGTTACAGAGATTAGTGAGAACCTGTTTGAAGATTGTTTACTGTTTGTTAAGAATATTTAAAATGTTGAATGTCCAAAGCCTGGCCTCATATCAGATGTGTTGATGGTGACTGGGTGGGGTGCCACCATAAAACTAAACCAATATCTAAGACATCAAGACCCCAAACCATATGCTAAAGCAGAACCATTCTGGTTTAGCATATATTATTTTGAATCTAAGTTCAGCTTTCAAACAGTTATACTGTAGAAATAAATGTAATCAAAGTCATAGTTTCTGAGGAGCTCCCTGTCTGTGAGTAAATAGAATAAGTGGATCTCCTTCCTGGAGAATCTCTTTAATAGTTTAGTCCATTATTTCTGATGTCTCCATTAAGTAAGGCATAAATTAAAAGAACATTTTTTTTGCCTTGAGCATAGGGTAAATTCAATTGAATATTATATATATTATGATACATGTGGTTGGTTGTACTAAATATATAAAACTGCCACATTATTTACAAAGCCGACACCACAGGATGCTGAAGAGAAGAGGAAGCAGGCAAGGTAAAGCCAAGGAACTGAGGGGCATATGAGAATGCCCTCGTTTTCCAGAAGTGCTCTACAGAGCTGACATACAGTGGTGCCTTTTGTCAAGTAAGTTGCATTTACCAAACTCCAGTTTAGTAGAACCACAGGTTTGCTTTTTCTGCTGCTAATTGTTTTCTTTAGTACTACAAGTGCAATTTTGTACATCTAAAGGCTAATGAGTGACAGACTAAACATGTCCTGAATAAGTTTACTATGTAAAGCACAAGTCTCATATAGTTAAAACAAAAAGCCCTTCCTTTACCTCCCCCATGTGAGCCAAATCCTATTTTATTTGTGCCCCACAGGCTTCACCACCACACTGCTGCTCCCAGTGGTAGGGTTTCAGCAGCAGAGGGGCCAACCCAGAAAGCAGTAGGCTAGGGTAGGTATGGCCAGCTGCTGATTGACAAGACATGCTTGAGAGTAAGCAGTAACAATGCAGATAGTTGTAGCTGAAAAATCAATTTGTAAACAAATGTATTGATAAACATATGTGCAAAGTACATGTACAACAGAGACATGTACTGATGTTTTAACAATAAACAATGCATTAAATCATATCTAAAACGTCTACCATATAGGATGGATGAAACCCTTATTTAATAAGCATTTACCGTTAAAGCACTAGTACATGTCTCTGTTGTATATATACTTTACTTGTGTGTATTAATAAATGTTTTTGTACCCAATCAACTGTTTAAAAGTGATTTATTACAATATCTCCTAATTCCACTGTAGTGCAAGCAGGCACAGCCTATATGAGGGTGACAACACTGCTCTGAATTCAGAAGCAGTGCAGCAGCATTTTCCCCCATGACAAGAAGCTGTGGGAGGTGAAGTTTACTGCCAGGATCAACAGTTATTTGTAAGACTTTGCAGGATGAATAAAGGACAATGATATGTGTAGATACATGTACAATAAAGTGTTGAAGCACATTTTTTTTTACAGAAGGCCACAATTCTACTTTAACTTACATTGTGAAAGAATAGAACATAAACTCAATACAAGTATTACAGAGATAAATTCATATAATAAATGAACTTACTGCATCATGATACAATCTCTAGAGCTGTGTAATATACTTGTGACTACTCAGATGATCTGCAGATATTATGGGTATCTGTAGATAAAACATGTTAAAGATGAATTGAAAACATTGGCAGCCAACACTCAGCCATTTATAGAAAACACATTAAAATAACTTGAATTCTTAATGTAAAGCATTAAGAAATAACAAAAAGTTGTAATAGTGAAACTAAATGCTGAAGTAGCAAATTGATGTTAAGAATTGCTCAACAACTCTAAATAAGTGGCATGATCAGCTATGCAGGATATCAAGAGAGCAACATATTATGCAACACATATGTAGCAGTGATTATCGAGAGAGCCCTTTTGTTGGCATACACTTTAGTCATTACTGAATTCCATCTAGGACTGTACAACTGAGGAACTAAAGGGTTACAATTGCAGCTAAAGGCATTTGTGTGAAAGGTAATTTGAAATGTTATGGGAGTGATATAGTAGTCTGAGATGTTGCAATTTTTTTTACTGTTCTGAATACTGTCTGTTTTCATTTGTGTTTATTGTTATAAAGTGTATGTAAAGCCATTTTTTTAGTTTTGAATAGAGCAGGCAATAATTGAACAAAACACTGCCATGGGAGAATAATGAAGGCTGCCACTAATAAACTCTCCTTTGGGAATTCTAGCTTCCTGGTTGTTATCCTTGTGCTCTGACTTCAATGCTGTCTAATTCACTGACCAAAAATAAGTAGTTTTATGACATTTATTTACAGGATGCTTGTTCCAGCACTGTGACTGAAACATACTGAAGTCAGACCCGGCCAGGCATCTAGCATTTTCAGAAGGAGGACAGCAATGGCACGTTCGGATCCTGTGAGGATTTTCTCTCATCAGGAAGGTTTCCCTTTATATCTTGCCCCTGGGATGCTTGTTCCAGTGACAGATGTCTAAAATAAGGTGACCAAATTTTCAAAATGACATCCAGGGACGCCCTACTGGCCATGCCTTCTTTTAAACACACCAACAAAACCCCATTTGTAGCCACAACCCAATTTTTAACATACCCTCAAATAATTGGTCACAAACATTTGGAACAAGAGGAAGACATTAAAGGTATAAAGACAAAATATTAAGACTTCAAAAGAGAGGCACAAGGATATGCATGCATAGTTAGGAGGGGCACCTTAAAGGAAACAAAAAAGGTAAATGTGGTGCGCATAGCATGCTAACCACTTCACACCTGGAGGTGTGGCCAATAAGGTGGGTGTTATTTGTACAGTGGGATTAAAATATGCCCCAGCACTCTGCAGACATACTATAATGAGAAAATGAAAAAATGGTAAATAGTAGGCAACAACACCAAATAAAATGTGGGGAAAAAACAGTCAGCAGCTGCTTGTGATTAAGTGGATCTAACTTTCTCTATAGATTTAGGGGCAGTTTCCTGACTGGTTGGTAAAGGTATGGTGCCTTCTCTGTACACAGTAATCCATAGCAACCAGATTGATCTTTACTGCAGTGAGCAGTTGATAATAATTCTGGCTGGTTGCTAAGGAATTCTGCTGCTAGGAAAGCTATTGTGCCATCTTACTAAAATAAATCTGAATATGTTGTGGACTTGTTATAAATTAGTGTAATAATAATAATAGTGGATGAAGTAGACAGAAGTTAGCTATATAGTTGACACATGTAGACTTTATTTATTTTTCTTTCTGAATGTATATAGTTATTAATTGCTGCCTTGTACTTAACTGTCTTTCCGGCAAGGCACACGTGTAAACTTACTGCCCAGGTCCAGACCAGAGCAAGAAGGCACCTATTCCACCACCTCACCTACTGCTCATGAGTCTTCACAAGCCAGGAGTGTGGATCACATGATACCCATGGACCAATGGCTAAAGACATGAAACCCAGAGACAGTTCTCCTCTATCCTCCTCCAGGAAGCCAATAACAGTACCACAACAGTTCCCAGGTAGATAACCATGCAGCCCAGGAGCCAGGGACACATTTTAGTCAGGGATAGCCTCCTAGAATCAGGAAATCAGGGATGACCAGGCACTCGACTCTAAGACATAATTTGCTTTTATTTAAAGAAATTTCCTCTCTCTGACTGCTGTTTCTCCAGGACAGGAATTGAAGGGAAACCTCCCCAGTGGGGCAGACACTGTATTCACAGGTTACATTCAGCTTGGTGCCCATTAAATCAACAATGACCTAAGGCATACTAAGCAAACTGTCAGCATCCAAGGCAGCTCCTCTGTCCTGTATATTCATACAGTCAATGCCTGTCATTGACTTGTACAGGCTGCTGCCAACAGCTGTACACCACACCTGTCACTGTCAGGTGCAGAAATATCAGCCGCATTATACGATGTAGGGCCATTCATGCCCATGTGACTGAACCCTTTATACTGCTGTAGAGTTATGGGAAACACGACAATAAAGTAAAGGAAGCCAACCAACATGAAGCAAATCGAAATCGGTTCCATGTTGTTTGAGTATGCATTGAGGCACCAATATTGTCCCTAGACATGAATACCACAGCAGCTAACTACCAATTCCTTATGCTGTAGCACTGTTCTTATGTTGTAGAGCTGTTCTACTGTTGCACTGAAAAAAGAAATGGGGCTCATAAAAAAAAGGGAGCAAAGACTTACTGCAATGTTCTATCTATTTACCTCCTTTATTACATTTACAGTATATAATTATGAATAAGGGGAAAATGCACATAAATGAGTGTTTTTGTATTCACTGGTGTAAATAGTGGTGTAAATATGAACAAGTGACTATGTAAACAAATGGGCTGACATTATATATGCCTTAAAGAGATGCAAAAATCTGATCTAATTGCAGCTGAATATTGAAAGTGCATAGAGACATTATTGAAAAACTAGTGGATACTTTACAATGCATTCCTATGGCCAAACATTTATTTATTTTCTATTCTGACACGGCTCCGTGTCAGAATAAAGAAAAAAAAAAGTAAAAAGACAGATCTGTCTTATTTTAAAGATTTGTTGGCGGTTATTTTACACACCTATTGTAGTTTGATAAAGGTGTTTGGATGGCATATTAATAAACATTATCTCCACTTTTATCTCCACTATCTAAACTTTAGTGCACCATAATCTCGTTTGAATCTGGATTTATTTAATATAAAAAAAGGTCCCTATTCATTAACACCCTTTCCACAATGCCTCATACACATCATACACAATCTGACTGTACAGCGCATCCCTAATCTATCCAATCAATCTGTATCTAATCATGCAGGCCTGTACACTGCATAGTTGTTGGTAGATCTGAAGAAGATTGTACAATAAGACTGTAACGTCCGTGGTGGGGCCATCTGTACACAATCTGAACAAACCTAGCATGTAAAATATTTTGCAGTGCAAAACTCTGGCTTCCACCCAATCAGATAAAATAAAAGAAGGCAAGAAATTAATCTGTATGTCAAGATCTAAAACTATAATTCTACAAAAACGTACAAGTGAGCCTGTAATATGCAGTACTGCTTTCACAGTTTAGCAATTTAGAGATAAATGAGAGCAATTTAACAAATTACACCGCAGAGAATGAGCTTCTGTTTAACGGGATTCAGTTTTCTTACACTTGCATATCAAGATTACGCACCAAGTTTCAAATGAAATAGACTACCTTTTTGAATTGTGTGGCTAAATAAAATTACATTTTCTATAACACTGCGGTTTTAACAAAAATACAAATAAGTGGTTACTTAGTATGCCAACAAAGATGTAAGGTGAACTCAGACTGTGTTGTTATTAAGCACTGATTTAGAGTTGTTCTTAAGAATGGAAGCTGTAAATTAGCAAACCTGGTTGGCTGTGGCTGTTGCAGCGTAGGGGACACCTGTGGCAGATGTTGCGGCTGCAGCTCCGTGCAGCATTTGAACTTTCGGTGGGAAATCATATAAGCAAACATACAGAAGAGTGCAGCAGAGTGGGAACCATAGCAACAGGTGGCAGATCAATTTGGCATGGAATTTATTGCAGCGAGAAGCCACGTGGGGTAACATCATCACCAGCGAGTGTCATGCAATCAGAATGCAAAAGCAGGGCAGCATTCCGGGGGAAAGAGGAAGAGGGTGGGATGGAAGAGAAAAAAAGGGAAAATGTTTGTTACCATCAAAACACGGTATTCATTACATACAGTGCTTAACTTAAAAGTACTCATCACCTGCACACAGTGGAGCAAGTCATTATGGACTAAACCAAAATGTTTGAAAATGTGGTCTGAATAGCAAAGGAACAAGGGTCATTGACAGACTTGAAACAGTGCCTCGAGTGCTCCCCACTGAGTCAGGTCTGTGACTCAGTGGCAAGACTACTTGTGTTCCTCACACTACAAACTTGAACACCATGCCAGGACCAGGCTTCATTGCATACAGTTGCACTCCCATTTAATGGGCCATCGAGTAAGATCACAGATCTTTCTGGCAGCATGGCTCTATGGACCTCCCATTAAGTAAATATGTAATATATATATTACATACTGTGTAACTGAAATAATATTGATATAAAGTTAATTACATCAAAATGTTATTAAAATACTACTATTGTAGCAAAGGTCAGCCTACAGCTATTCTTAAAAATCTGGAACAGGTAAAAACTCTTTTTCCACTTCTTGGCATCTCTCTTCTTCAAGTTCTTGGTATCACCAATTTGAGCTTCCACGTAGCAGTGGAATATGCAGAGATGACATACAAATAACAACCAGACCTCTATAAGTTTACTGAAGTCAGGAAAATAACTTGACTGCCACGGGTTACTGTATATTGTACACTGCACTTTGTCTTATTGAGTAAGTAATTTTGCTTAGAAACTTTCAAGAGAACCTGTCATTAAGAAAATCTGGATAAACTAATATAACTAGGTAAGGCAGGTACTGCAAGATGATAGTACATACTACAGTATTCCTGTATTAGAATCCAAACTAAACCTTAGCACATAGGTCCTCAATCTTTCCAAATCATTTTAGAGGGTAGATTGTGTCAGTATAAGTAGAAAATGTCCAAGCACCAGTGATGAGAGGGTGTAAAAAATGTCTCAGGCTCAGTGATCAGCAGGAGTAAAAAATAACCCTGGATGGATGGTCAGTGGGAGTAAAAAAAATATCTAGCCTTGGTATTACTGGAAGGAATAGTAACCGATTAGTTGCATCCGTGGAAAAAATAATGTCCCATTGTTGGTGTCAGTGGAAGAAACAATGCCCAATAAATGGTGTCATCAGTGGTAGGAATTGTGTAGGAATCAATGGTATCAGTGGGAGAAATTGTGCCCCATCTTTGGTGTTAGTTGGAAGAATTATGCTACATCCTTTGTGCCAGTGGAAGGAATAGTGTCCTATCCTTTTTGTGTCAGTGGAAGGAATAGCATCTCATCATTGGTGTTAGTAGAATAAATATTGCCCCATCATATCAGTGGCAGTGGAATAGTGTTGCAAGGGCCAGGTAAAGGTAAACAAAGGGCCACATTCAGCCTTAGGGCAGCAATGTTGGGACCACAGCTTTAGCATTGTACTGTGGTTTGTTGGGGGCATGTCCGAGGAAAGGTATTTGCATACTGTATACGTTCCTATAACCCAGTTATGTTATTCTAACCTGCTTTTTGTAATGTGAATACTCCTTTTAATATTAATGTTGAACATCTTTAATTGCATCTTGCCTGACACTAGACTTAGAGAAGATAACAGAACTGGAGGAAGGTAGTGCCTCAGGCTCAGAGGTATTTAGAAACAGGGGCTTGTAGCATAAGTGTCCCATTCCTTTGGAATCTAATCTCAGCAGGAAACTTTTTAAATTTGCCACTGGTTGCAGTGATTTCTTCAATATCTAAACCACTGCTTTTCAGGAGTCCCTAGGTATTTGACTCCTTCTAATTCTAATTTAATTCGTATAATGCTTTTGCACAATTGCAGCACCGTGCTTTTTGAGACCACCATACTATTTGCACCAGGATCCATCATTATTATAATAAATATTATTCTATGGAATTCCAGCAAATATTTATTCTGGCAACCAAATGCCAACTCCACTGTGCTTGGGGATTGAAGTAAAGGAGGCATGTAAAATTATTTCTACTTTCATTAACATAAAAAACATAAAATGGCTTTACAGTTTCATGAAACAACATTTTTAATTGTATTACAAACTAGGAAATACAGTCAAAATCCAATCCATAGCAGATAGTTAATTTAGTCAAGTTCTGAGCAGCAAATTTTAAAGCATGACCTAATAAATAATTAAATGTCATATAATTATCTCTGTATTACAATTAGCGGGACAGTACTCCCTGGGCACATAATGCCAGGATGGATTTTGAGTGCAAGAAAACAGTTCACCAGGCATAATAAATATTCAAGAAACAAAGCTGGCACCTACCAACACTTCCAGAGGGTGTCATGCACAATATTGAGCCTGCCCATCATGCATTGCAACAGGAAGGTGGATTGAAAAGGGAAAAGAATTAAAAAAAAAACCCATCACACATGTTATTAGAGAAAAAAAATCAAACAAGAAAGAATTTTGTTATTATGGCAACAGTGGCATAAAACTGTGAGCATACACAAATCACAAAAGAGCATAGTGGGTGATTAGCACATTTATGGAGCAGGGTAGAGTGGATTACCCATCACCTCATTTGTTAGTGCTGCAATAAGGACAATATGTTTTTGGAGGAAATTACATACTGGCAAAGCTTACTATCAGTGAACAATGCCCTAGTAAGTGCTTTTGTCCTTGTTTAAATGCACAGCGGCTTATGTTATAGATAGGCAAGCCTTGACAGTCAGGTTACTGCTTCTGAACAGTAAAAAATGAAATGTAAGATTGGTGTCCTAATTTAACTGCAACCACTACAATTGTATACAGTTTGTGAGTGTACACCACACAGATATCTCCTTAACTAATCCCTTCTTGTATTTTGTATGCCTGTGTACCAGGATGGAGTAACAGGTCATACGCATGATAAGACTAGATTGTCTACATGCAGCCATAGCACTTAGTATATCTGTCATGAGAGAACTATGCAGACTGCCATTACTAGCCTTTCTTATTGATAATGCATGTGTGTTTCTACCTGTCTAATGCTAATACTTTAATGCTTCCTGATTCACTGACCTGGAGCAAGTATAGAGATAAGAATTATGACATTTTCCTGACACTGATCCACAGCATGCTCGTTCTGGGTCTGTGGCTCGTATATATTAAAGACAGACCCAGCAAGGCTTTGACGGATAACTATGAGGTGAGTGAAAAACTGTAACCACTCCAACCCTTAATGATACAGTACAGCGTTATCTATACATGTTATATGCTTAGTTTGCCTCAACAACCTAATGGGGTCCCCTTACACCCCAAGGCCCTCCTATGGCTATAGTTACGCCGCTGAGCTGTTCTCTGTATCCTGTTTCTTGATTTAGGTAACTACACATCACTGCACTTTTACAATGCCAATAAAAGAAAACAAAACAGCAAAAGGATTAGACATATTTGCAGACAGAAATCCCAATTTCTTGGGATCATCATACATTTTGGCAACAAAGCTCTCTTAATTTTGCTTTAAATGTAATCTGTCATAATCCAAAATACCTGTGTGAGAATCCTCAGATGAAACTTCCATTCTCTGACTCAAGGATTTCATATAAATTGCAGGTCAGAGATAACTCCAGGTTCACTGCTTCAAAACTATTATTCAACTTGGTAGTGAGATAATGACAGCTGATTTGAGATGTCTCACACAGATATTTCCCCTTAAATAAGTCACCTGCTTCAAGACATTTCTAATGTATACACCTTAACCGCACTTGATTTTTAAGTAATATTTGCCTTAAAGGAGAACTATGAGGTGAGTTCTTTTCACTCACCTCATAGTTCTAGCCGACCTGTGACAATGAAACTGTCACAGGTCGGCTCAGTAGATCGGAACGTGAGCAAACACATACTGGCGTTCGCTCACCTCTCGATCCTGTCACGGCTCTCTGCCGTGACAGGGGAGGGGCTGGATTCCCCACTCCAATCCGCCAGCGCTGACTGGTGGAACGGACGGGGGAGGGGGCTGGTACAGCTGGCTCTGTCTCTAGATAGGCAGAGCCAGCTGTCAATCTTGCAGCTGGGCGGATCCAGACATAATTGTCAGGATCCGCTTCAGCTGCGGCGTCTCAGTATACTGCGAGCTACAGTTCGCGGTATACTGAGCCTAGGGTGACGGGAGGACGCTAGTTTGTGTCCTCCCGTTACCCTAAGGAGAACTATGGGGAAAAGCCTTAACTCCATAGTTCTCCTTTAAATTATGCAATGTAAGGATCCCAGAGAGACGCAGTCACTGCATGTTAGCATTGTGTGTTCAGTGTTGTTACAGTGAGAGTCATATGATGGCAGTTTGCGCATGCTACATTTCCTAACCCATGTATTACTTACTTTTGTCTACCACACCTTAAACCCCCTTTTCAATGATATAAACATTCTATAGCTGCTAAAAAAAATCTCTAATTTCAAGGTTCAGTACCTTGTTTTGGAGATTTGTCATGGCCAGTTACACTCTAAAATCTATTTTTGCTTCTTATAATAAACTGTAAAATAAAATGCATTCATGTTATATTTGATAGATCACTAAATAGCTAATGAAAAACAAAAAACAAAAACAAAGTTGTTATATTCATAATTATGGGAATAGTGGGTTTTTAGCAGTCTTGCATAAAGCTTAGATTTATAAGCTCAGCAGCATAAAGAGACTCCCCAATTAATTTTACCTTCTTTATACAAAAATTCTTGCAGTATAGAACTTTTTTATCCATAGATATGCTAACAGCAAAATAGTAAATAGTAAAATACTTTGCACAGTAAAACATTGAAAACATTTTTGTACTGCAGGGCTTCCCTTAAAAAATGGATTTTGTTTCAGGGATGGTATTTTCTTTTTTTTTATATTGATATGGTATTTTTTCGAGTACTTAAAGCAAAGTGCAGCAATGTGCACGTAAGCCAGCTAACATTATACCACTCCCATTAGATATACTCCGCTATTCTCATAAGATAAAAGTTAGGCATAAACCAGTTAGGCCCTTTTTCCCCTGATTACAATTGTCCTGCAACTGGCCAATTTTACACTGCTGTATCCTCTGCAGTATCTTAATTCATATAGTAAAGCCACAGCCTGTGTTCTTTGTCTTTAGTAAATTTGGGTTTAGCCTTACTCTTTAAAACTGTCCTGCTGCCAAATATGTGCTTCTATTGTACACTGTTGCTGAGACTGCCTGTGCAAATCATACTGTTCCATAACACCATGTACAGCTGTAACACATTACCCAAGCATGGTTTTTTTTTATTTTTGCACTGGTACATGTCCCCAATGGCAGTGCCCAGCTTCTTGTGCCTTTTCCTAACACTAGTTTTCCTATTTGCAATAAAAATGTCCAGATTTTAACAAGATTCAACCCCAACGGGACTTTACCTCTAAGTTTGGGTTTGCATAATTTTAAGCAATATTCAACCAATTTTTGGTGAATAGAACACGGGCAGAGTCGTCTAAAACTAATGAGCATCTCTATGATTAAATACAGCTATAGCACTGGAAAGGAGGCATGGCAGTGTTAACCACATAGTAAGTAACCAGTCAACTCAAAATCATCAACAGGACCAAAATATGGGCCAAACAACAGTGTGTGTACATAAATTCTTGCATGCATATCTTGCTATTCAGATTCCCCATTACTGTAATGCTGTCACTGTTAGCCCCACTGGAGACAAATACCACACAGCATGCAAAACGCCCCTCAAATACTTGATCACAAATCAGTAATTAACACCATTATTGCAAAACAAATCAAAACCTCCATTAGAGTAAATGTCATGTCATTGTCCATTTATTAGCTTTCCCTAATGGAGACTGGCTTTAGGCCGAACTTACCTGGTGGGAAAAAGGCTGCTTGTTGCTGGAGCTGCATGTTGGCAAGAGCCTGTTGGTACTGGAAAAAACCCGTATTAAACATTCCGGTGGCACCATTGGTTTTTTCAAGTGCAGGCCTCTTTGGTAATGGGGGAAGTACATTTTGAGGAATTCCCTTCAATCCAAGGAGTTAGAGGAAACCATAAAAGAAATGAAGAGAATAAGTAAATAAAAGGTAAAGAGATCAGTATCCAAAGATCATTGTAAATCTACTCTGAGCTGGAGAGGAGAACAAGTGACTTCAATTGACCTCTTGGCCTACTTCTCCAGAGCTGAGTGAGATAAGCCATCAGCAAACAAAGCAGCCATCTAGTACAGAAATACAATAAAAGATTGTGATCTCGGCTGATTCCTGACAAAGTGTTCTGCACCTCTTAAAGGACACCTACTACCGATCCACTAATGGTCCGTGTAATGCAGTTCAAGGACCAGCCAACGTGTTTGACTGTTCTTTATAGAGGAATCTCTGACCGAGGCAGGTTCAGTGACAGGCATAGGTCCCAGAAGATTACACTAGAGCTTACCAATCATTGGCAGATGAGAAACTGGTAGATGAGGGTAGTTCACACAAGCCAATTATCTCCCCTCTACTCCTCTCATTATATTTACAAGTGGATTATCTTTTTAAACACAGAGGCAACAGAAATTATAGAAGAGTTTTATCCGTGCCATGTCAAAAAATCTGATTGTTTTTATTTCCTAAAAAATGAAATTTGGAGCTATATGGCAGATACAATGTAACATGGGCAATGTCCTTATGTTTAATCTTCAAACAAAATTAAAAAAATGATCAAAGCTGAGGTTTCTGCACTGCTAGCTCCATGAAGGTCAATGAATAAAGCAACAGTTTTACAGAATGATTGAAGAAGGTTGGGTCATGTTGAACCAGACCCACACTTCCCCAACCCTATCTACACATGCAAACTCTACTACTGCATGCAACTATGTTAACACTGACTTACAAATGTTAAAACTAAACATATACATAAGAATAGCAATAAAGCCATGCCAACCACACAGATACAGTACAAACAATTACATAAATAGACAGGTCTCTCTATTCCACAATACAAATTATGTTGTGGCAGAGCTGAGTGTGGTTACTATTCTAGGGGCTCATTAATTGTTATATACACAAAACAACTATATTTGTACACATACTTGTATTTTTTGTGTGCACATGTATATTTTGTAAACCACAGTCAGTCTGGAATTGTATTTTCTGACCATACAACAAAAACATTAAAAAAAAGTTTATTTTTGTAAGTTTAACATTTGTTTGTACAATAAAGCTACATGCCAAGCTTAAAGGTGAAAGGTCATAGTACCAGGTCAAAGGTTGCCTCGAGGGGTCGCTTCAGTGATTTGACAGCCGACTGAGTCTTAATTAGCAGGCAGCGAGCACATGATGGCAATGGGCCAATGGGGTTCAAGCGCATTAACATAAACAGCAAGCAGAGGTGCATCATGGGGGCAGCAGTGCATATTTTGGTAGGTGAGGAAAAAAAAAACAAATAAAAAAACAAATCATCCGAATGCCGTAAATAACAAATAACAAGACTAGGCATGCACAGTAAAACGCACTGATATGTTATTGTCAACTACCACTTTTTCACTAGTGACATAAATTATATTAATTACATTCTGTTTAACTAACAGCCACATTTTTGCTAGTACAGATACAGCTCAATACATTTAAAGGGCTTAACCATCAAGCTTTTGAAATGTTTTGTAAAGTCAGGTTTTGCATGCTTGTTTGAATGTCACGTGTCCTTAGTTCATGCATAGCATTTGGTGGTATGTATATATAGTATGGATATTGTTAACTAGGCTTAGAGCGTTTCATCATAATGGTCAGTTCAAACAAACATGCTTAAAGGATAGAGATGACCAGCTGTTCAAACCATAGCGGTATTTTATAAATTTAGTATTCACACCAAGGCAATGAGATAATAAACTTTATAAGTAGAACCGATGATGCATCTTGATCTGTTTTGCCCATGCAGAATAAAAAGCTATCCAAAGGCAAATGTTCCTTTTGTAGGTTTGCATGTTGCCTGTCTATAACAGCAGATAACAATAAAATGTTGCCAGAAAGAATTCTAATGGAATGCAGTTATGTTTCAATGCAAACCTTTCTTCCTTGAGTTCTGCTACATGTTTTTAACAAAGAGAACTATAGAAATGTAGTCAACCAGCTGTGAAGAGTGAGATAATAATCAGACTAGCAGATTATCAATATTCACTCATGTGCTACAACTGTCAAGCTTTCAGTTACTCCGAGTAACAAACTAATTCAATGTTGAAGAAGTTATAGGAAGACATTAAACAAGAGTTTCTGAATAATCATCTCAGCAGCACCACTAAAATTTAAGCAAATACTTTGACATCTACCTCAATATCTCGCTGGGGTGTTTGTGATATAGTGGTCAAGAAAGAGGAAAGGCATAGTACATTAGCAGTATAGGCACACCATCTCCTTTTGCAGTGTTATATTGCACAATAGGTTATAGATGGCAATAAAGCTGTCAAAGCAAGCTCATTTGTTATACCTTCATGTTACTTGTGTCGTACCATTTATTTTTGCATACAAGACAAAATACAGTCTTGTACAGTACACAGTAGCAATTATAAACTATAATGCTGCAATGCATATCTTCCTTTACACTTGGACAGAGATTCAGTTTAAAAACGAACCACTATTTTAGCCAGCCATACTAATTGTACACTGTAATGATTTGTTTGCAAAAATATATTCAAAGCAATACACTCTGATCCAGATTTGCCATATATCTGCCATGGGTGGAGAATGAAACATATCCTTAGAGGGTCAGGAACTATAGCATATATGTTATTTCATATGCTGGGCTATTCATAATGTGTATGCACTTACATTTAGAGATATAAGCAGCTGGATTTGTATGCAAATCTTTTTTCTTTTGGCGTTTGACATCATATTTTCTAAACTGATTTATGGGACCTTAAATGTTAATAGGCAGCTTAGCTGACCAATAAGGAACACAGGGGTGAGTAAAGTGGGACCAGGCCTGACATTGCCTGAAAAGTCAGGATTTTCATATCTGTCTACACCCCTGGGCCTACCAATTGTTTTGACTTGTAGTTTTCAATAAGATAATGTCTGCTTATGTACTTTTACCACACTCTCAGTTTTTGGATAGTTTACTTTACCAAAACGAAAGATATTTGTTTCTTCTGTCAGGCTAGCCTAAAAAGACTACAGCTATCTGTGACTAGTATGTCTTTCTTGACCTAAACAGGCAACTAGCATAAACAATGCATTGAGCAGCAAAGTTATAACTCCAAATTAATATAATAATGCAAAATCAAGTAACCCATTGCAGGCAAACAAGAATAAATAGCGTGACCTCAGTAAACTGTAATATGGTGATTATTGCACTCTGAACGTTTCACTATCATAAGCCCATAGGGGCCTCTAAGCAACCACAGGATCATTCATCTCCATATTTGTGAAGATAAATAAATAATATTTGTAATAACAAATAACCTGCAGATTACTGACCTTCTGAGGATTCAAGTATTACACCCCCATAACAGAATTCAATCAACCCCGAGAGCCCTAATTCTCAAGTCAAGAATGGATTTAGTTTGCTTACTGAAGGGAAGAGAAAAGCACACCATAGAAGTAATAAATAACAGGCTGGCTGTGAGATACAATCTAATCAATATGCATTAGCTATTTTTCCCTGATAAGCCCCCAGTTAGCTGCCAAGGAAGCAAACATTGTGGTGAAGCATCAAGGATGCCACTTAAGTGTTTCAATTTTCCCCGTTTGAAGATACTCACCATGGCTGCTGCCTGAGCAACTGCAGCTTGATTGACCTGGTACTGAGCAGCCTTGATCTTGGCTTGCAAGTGTGCAGGCGGATGAAAGTATTTGCACTTTTCCCGTGAACATCTTCCTTTAATGTAATCCATGCACACAGTGACTGTATTATCATTGGTATCAATCATTGCGCTCTCAGATGGGTGGGCAAACCGACATTCATTTTCTCCTCTATTGCAGTTTCCACGCTGGTACTCCCGACATACCTGTGGACAAAATATCAAATAACATTTTATTTTTTGGTGGCATTTGTTTTACATTATTCTACGAGTAAAGTTCAATGGAAGACATATTTATAAAGCTATGTGAAGAGCAATGTAAAGTGTAGCCAAACAATCTGCATTCTAGGCACTGTAATTAGATCATTTCTGATTTTTTCATATCACTGAACAAAAGCATAAACTCTTAGGTGTTCATCCTAAAATCCAGATAGCAAACTTACAAGTACAGCGAACATTTTAATGGAACAGTGTGACACTGCAAGTGTGGCAAAAAGACAGCAATACTTTGTCTTGGCTTAATACAAAGCTGAACATCCATGCTCAGCTCATAGTGCCTCTGGTAATCTATACATACCGTTTATTTACAATTTATTATTAGAATAAGATTGCTTTTTGTAATGAATGAAGCTACTGTGAGTAGTAACGCAAAATATTCCAGACTAACCACAAGAGGGCGTCCTTACTCTTCTAAACTAATCTTTTTTTTCTGCTGTATTGCAAAGGTAGTCAACTTTTAAAAAAATGTTGCCATTTTATTTTCTAATTGATAAAGTACCAACCAGTACAGGTTACTTTATCTAATGCACCACTTGACATCTGTACTTGCATTATCTTTAATACCTAATTATGAAAACAACATTATTCAGATTTGTTTTAGATTTACAGTGACACTAAACCCAGGAGTTAGATCAGATTCTAAAATCATCTCTGGATTGGTGCTGACACTGTCTTTCTTTCTGGAGGGTGGCTACTTTTCTTCCCCACTGTACCTGTGTGTGTTGTAAAGTAGCCACCACTCCAAGCTCACTCCTTTGATGGACTACAATCTCATGTTTAGTTTACTAATTTGTATTGAGACTGTAGCCCATCAGAGGAGCGAGCTTGGCTACTTTACAACACACACAGGGACCATGGGGAACAAAAGTAGCCAACCTCCAGAAGGAAGGACAGTATCATTCAAAGATGATTTGAGGATCTACAGCTGAGTGAAACACAAATAAGATACATATTTGTTAATAGGGCACTTGAATGTATTTTTAAGATTTAACTCCCAAGTTTAGTGTCACTTTAATTTATTAGCTGAAACTTAGACCTGTGAGGATGAAATTACATGTTAAAGCAGAAGCAACCCAGCCTGGGGGTACACATACCCCTGTGTGTCACTTAGGAGTCTATTCACGAAGCTGCCGAAGGATCTAGCCGTAGCTTTGGCCGATCCTTCGGCTAGCTTCGGCCCCAGGACCCCTTCGGTTCAGTAGAACCGAAGGGGTGCTGTATGGGCTATTCACAATAGCCCGTACAGCTCCCGATCATGGCCGAGTGGCTCGGCCGAGCCGAACGCATATGCATCGGCTCGGCTGAACCGTGCTGAAAGCCGAAGCTGGCCGAGCGGCCGGCCAGACAGCCTGCTTCTGACAGCTGGGCGGAGCCAGCCGTGATCTTACGGCTGGCTCCAGCCACTTGCAGTGAGATCAGCGTCCCTGGTTACCTGCTAACCAGGGACACTGATCTCCAAACAGCTAACTCTCCCTGGCGGCTCGGGAGTCTCCTGCTCTCCTGCTCCCGCCCTCTGCTGCAGTTCCCCATCAGGTCCATCAGCAGAGGGCGGGTACAATGCTGGTTTACGATTGGCTATTGCAAATTGAAATAGCCAAAAGTGTGGCTGAAATCAGCCGCGCCAGCCTGAAGTGAATAGCCGAACAGTGTTCGCCTAACTTCACTTCAGATCGGTCATTCACTCGGCTGTCCTCGGCAGCTTCGTGAATAGACCCCTAGGTGTACAGAACAGTGCAATGCTGTGTTATATTATATCAATATGGATTACCATATAGTACTTCAGAATGGAGAATTAACTACACTGTAATTATTTAAAAAAAGGACCTTATTGTTTATTGGAGATGACTAACACACTTGTTTAAGTCATCTCCAATAAACACTTTCTGTGCTCCTTTGTCAATACTTAGATTTAAACTTTTTTTTTGTTTTGATTGAACAAAGGAGCAATGCTCACAGAGTCAGATTCAAATAACAATTTTGCTTTCTTAAAATGGAACCCCTAGCCAAAGCCTAGTATGAGTGTGGAATAGTTATCTCATCTCTCAGATTTTTATTGTTTGCTTTGTTCCTGCTCCAGGGAATTCTGCTCAAAAATAATAACATGGTTACAGCTTACAACACTTCCAGTCAGAGTAGGTGACATCACTACACCTCTTTACTGCCTCCTGGGATAGTTGGACCAAGGGCCGTCCCGCTAATGAGGCAGCCCGAGGCGGTTGCCTCAGGCGGCATCTCATTGGAGGGTGGCAGGTGTGGGGGGATGACTGAGGGGTGGCCACAGCGTCCCAGGTTGTTAATGGCTCTTAGCAACCTGTGATGCTCTGACCGGTTTCTTGCTCACTTCACTGACGTCATCGGTTGCCAGAGAGCTGAGTGAGACATTCTGGCTGGTGTTCCCCAGACGCGTTGGTCGTGACCATGGTAAATATGTTTTAAACTATTTTTATTACACCTTTATTTTTAAACTTTTTTTGCAGCTAATTGGTAGAGGACTGGCTGGAAAGTGGACCTTTCATTTGCATGAAAGGACCGCTTTACATAACGCTGGTTTCTTCTCAGATCCAAAGAAACATAGGCAGATGAATTCCTCCTGACCAAAGTGTGACTATTACCATGATAGGAAAATTTGAGTGAAATATAAGAGGAACTAACGCAAATGACTCTGCAAAGTTGTGTATAATATGTCAGTGTTATATAAATCTGGGAATTAAAGCTGATGCGAGCATTGCGTTGATAAACAAGCTCAAATAGCTTTATAAGGTGGTTCACGCGGTCACACATTCTAATAATTCAATAGGACACACAGTCACTTTTTCTAAAAGTAACTTATAGAAAAGTGTATAAAATGTATGTTAAAATTGAGTGAGAAACTTTGGGTAGAATAGCCTGAGCTAGATTTTCTAATACAAATATTCATCATAACATAATTTTAGAGCTGTGGTGGAATGTGGACTGTCAAAGAGCTCAGGCTTATACTGTCTTCCTGTGTTAATTTAATGGAACGATTGTCTATTCATACTGGTGCCATGATATAGAGTAACTATTCATATCATACAGAAAAGTAAACAAAGATTTTCCTGAGGCAAGTTTGATTACAAGAACACATTCTGTATGATTACAATATGACCGAGTTTGCGGAAATCACTCTACTGGTGTGTTTAATACCAATGTATATAATAGTAAGGCCATGAACTGTATTTATAGTTTTAACGTTTTAAGCCAGTAGACATGGTAAGCAGATCTCCTGGCAACATCAGTGTAACTGAGAACACACCATGTTGTCAAACTGAAAGATTGTTTTATATCACTATTTTTAGCCAAGACCAAATCTAGGAGCAGCTTGTCTAAGGGGAAGAAAAACAGCCAGCGAAGACCATTTATTCTAGAGTAAGAAAATAGAATAAAAGTTAATAACATTTACATTACCTTAATGGCTATGTAACTTAAGCTTTTACTGTATTGTATGTCATAATGCAATATAAGCTTTTCCTGCTTTGATGTTACATGTCATGTAGTGCTCATTCACATCAGCAGGCTTACATTAAGGAGCACATAACGCATGGCTGCTGAGGTGCATGTACGCATTGCTGTGATTGCTTTTTGCTTTGTTGTTTAAACTTATTGTACGTAACAATTAAACTTGTGCTGCAGCACATTGCAATGCATTATTCCCCCAGGACGGGCTGTGTCGGCCGCACGGGCCCTTGTTGCCATGGCGCCCTGTGCGGCCGCACTGCTAAGGCCGGCCCTGATTATAGCTTGGCACATCTGCTGCTCTGAGCCCTAAAATTTTGTCAAGAAGTGAAGTAAACACATGATATGTGAGGTGGTTGTTGTTTGCTAAATTGCAGCTAATTATAATATTAACTGCAGTCTAATTACACAAAAAAAGTAAATATTAAAGTGACACTATACTCAGGAGTTAAATCTTAAACATGCATTCAAGTATATTAACTATTAACAAAAATATATCTTATTTCTTCATCACTCAGCTGTAGATCCTCAAATAATCTCTGAATTGGTGCTGACACTGTCCTTCCTTCTGGAGGGTGGCTACTTTTGTCCCCCATGGTCCCTGTGTGTTGTAAAGTAGCCACTGGTCCAAGCTCACTCCTTTGATGGACTATAATTTCAATAATAATTAGTTAACTAAAGGTGAGATTGTAGTCCATCATGGGAGTGAGCTGGCTCGGAGTAGTGGCTACTTTACAACACACACAAGGACCATGGGGTACAAAAGTAGCCACCCTCCAGAAGGAAGTACAGTGTCAGCACCAATTCAGAGATGATTTGAGAATCTACAGCCGAGTGATACACAAATAAGATACATTTTTGTTAATACTTAGGCCTGGTTCACACCTGGGCGTTTTAAAGCGTGTTCCTACGCACTGTAAAACGCTCAACATGTGAAAACCAATAATTGCCTATGGGCATGGTTTCCCCCCCTGGGCGTTTTACAGCGCGTAGGAACGCGCTGAAAGACACCCTATGCCCAAAGAAGTACAGGAGCTTCTTTGGGGCGTATTTGCCGTGCTTATCCATTTACGATACAGCCGGATAGCCCTTTGAAACGCGCCAGCGTTAGACCTCTTTCACATGTGTGTTAAACTCAGGCATTAGAGAAGCATTTTTAAAGCCTCTGTCTATTAACGCTCGTGTGGGATAATACAATAGCAACGGCCCAGTGCAGTTCACACATGGGTGTTAGCGTCGTGTTAAAAAATAGACTGCATGTCGCATTCATGAGGCATTGCCACTGGACAAATGCCTCCATTGAAACACCCTTAAACACTTGGCCAGTGCTATTATAGCATTTTTCAGGCATGTAATTTTCAGGCCTAAAATGTGGAATATAACATGGGTACAAAAAATGAAAAAAAGGCCTCAGTCATGAAGGGGTTAAGAAGCATTGCAAAGGTGTTTTAGGAGAGGCATAGGAGGTTTTGCAATCCCAGAAACCACTGGGGAATCATAGAGTAAGTGGACAAAGGAGGTGCAGATGCCACTTCCTGTCTGCACACAGCCAGCATTTTGCCAGCATAAGGACAGCTTCCAGCCAGGTACTTGCAACCTGTGACAGCCTGACCTATGCCACCCTGTAGTGCCAGCTGTTATTAGTGTTACCCAAAGCAGTGCCAGCCATACCAGTGGCAACTCAGCAGTGCCAGCCATACCATTGCCAGACATTGCAAGTACCAGCCAGCACCAATCATGTCTGAAAAAAATGCTGCATGGCTAATTCAAGCAGTTGAGCAACACCCAGAATTGTATGATCTATATTAATGCAGAAATGCACCGGACAGAAAAACAACAATATGCCTGCAAATTTCACCACAGCCTAAGCACACTTCAAAGCTTGTCACTTCCCTTTATTACATCACTTCCCCTTTAACACTCCCCTACTTGCAGGGCATTTTGCAAGCTTTTTTGACACCTCCTTAATGCCTTAAAAATGCCTGCTGACTAAAGGTGCGTTAATCAACGTTGCTCTTTTATTAAATTCTCAACACACATGTGAAAGAACACTTTTTAGGATTTCACTCCTGAGTCTAATGTCACTTTAATGTTGATTTTTTGTTATATGCAGTGATTTTAGCAGCATTTCATTTTAAAATGAAGTATCCTGTATAATAATAATAATAATAATAATAATAATAATAATAATAACAACTGTGCTTAAATTCAGAGCTGCTCTTTAAAGTGTAACTTTTAGCTTTTGGGTAGCAGCAAATATAGAATCATAAGAAGTGTATGGAACAATTGCTAAAGATACCTTTTGAGGAATACTTGTGTGCTGTGCTAAGATACTATGTCAAATTTCTTACTGATGAGTAGCAAATATTAGCAATTGCAATCTATTTTCCGACAAAACTCCCCACACTCACCCTGCCCAGCACTAGCCAGAAGAGTCATCAGTCCAGAACACAGACATGTAACTGAGATGACATGCTGATTGACAAGTTCTGCACTGTATGCTCCTGAATCTATTTTTTTTTTTTAAATATGAGCATTCCAAAGAAAATTGGATTTCGTGATCTCCAACACAGAAAAGGGTACACATTTAAAACAAACTTTGATAAAATGCTTGCAAAATTTGGTAGACTTGGAATGAGATTTCAATGAAGCGGAAATTTGACTTAAAGAAGAACTCCAGGCATCTAAAAAATTAACCCTTGCAGTGGGACTACCACCCCACTGCAAGAGTTAAGTGCTCATTTTGGTCTAGCTTCTAAAATCAAAGATAAAAAAAACTCACCCAATACTTGGTCCCTTAGTACCACTTACCTCCCACCCCCCTCTGCTCTGGCTGCCGAATGTCCCTCAACATCCTCAGGTCCATTGCAAGTAAATGGACGTGATGACACCATGGGTCCTTAGACTGCCGAGCCCAGGGAGAAGAGGCTGCAGGGATCGATCTAGCAGCTAGGCAGAACCGATGATCTGGTGAGTACATGCTTTTTATTTTAGACTCTTGACTAAAATGAGCATTTATCCCTTGCAGTGCAGGGGTAGCTACACTGCAAGCTTTAATTTTGTACATGCCCGGACATCGTCTTTAAGGCAATAAGAGACAAGAGCTATGCTGTGCAGTACCGAATTTCAGTTTAAGCAGTTGGAAGTTCTAATCAGTCATGCAATGTTGGACTCCATGACTTGCTGTCCACTGTCCAATTGTGTATAACAGAAAACAAATCATTAAACATGTTTCAATAAAATACATTTCTGCTACAGAGAAAAATGGAATGTAACATGGAAAGCTGACAGAAAGAACAAAGAGAAAATTATTAGCAAAAGAGAAACATACTTTTAAAACAATTTTGTTATTTATGAAAGCAAAGGAGGAAAATATGAACTTATATGAACAGAGATGAAAAGAGTTGGGTCATAAAAAGTACAAGTACAAAAAATACAAGAGAGAATAGAAAGCAGTGTTAAAGGAGTCCACTGTAACTGCTATACATGAAAAGATTGTCCATAATGCAGAATGTTAGACATAGTATGGAATATTGGGCATGGTGGAAAAACACTCGCCTTTCTCTTCTGGGACCGAGGGTCAATTCCAGTTTGATGTCCTAAGTGAAATGGGTTTGCTGGTCTCAGCTCAGTTCCCAGAGGGCAGGAGTCGACATCATAATACCACCACACATAATTTGGCATAACAGGCAGTCTCTGCTCAGGAGAGGCCCAGGATTGAGCTGGCATGGAGACTGAACTACCTCTCACCCATAAAGAGGGTGCTCCCTCCACATCGGGGTTGAGGTCATTGGATGGGCAACGTGGGGAAGCTCTCACTGCAGCTGCCTGATTGTAGCTGGCCTGTGAATAAAAAGAGGACTTCAGTTTCCATCCCAGCCAGTCCCTTCACCATTAACATAGTCAAAGAGTGCTTATTAACTAGCCTGCGGCCGAAAATACAGAGGCATGTCATGGCAAAGGAAAAGTTCAAAATAAATAGAAATGCAGTATGAACAAAGCAGGAAAGAAGACAGATGAAGCTAGCCAAATTTATGATACCTTTCACAAATTATTTCACTTTTTTTGGTATACATGTACAATAAGTACCATAAATACTGTGTATAATGTTTATTTCTGTAAATATGCAAAGTCCTGCCATCCTTCCCATTTGTTTAATAAGAACATACAATTAGGGTACTAATCTTACTACAAATAAACAAAATATTTTGTATTTAATGCTGCAAAGACTATTGCGAGAGTCATGGGTCGCCTATAAATGTGATGACAATGTATGGATCAGACCACATTATATAACAGCATGACTCCTGATTGCTAAATGTGATTACACTGCATTGGTTATCCATTTTCTGATACAGCACCACAGAGAAATGTCAAATAAATTCTATAGACTATACAGTTTTACGAGGGTCAATCAAAAAGTAATGCCACCATGTTAGTAATTTGAGATCTATTGGTGTGACTGTGAATGTCCATGTACCATGTTATAGAGGTGTCCTTACCCCACTAATGTATGTTTTTCTTTTTCAGTTTGACTGATTAGAACCATGGATCTGCGACTAAAAGCTGTAAATTAATTTCTGGCGAAAGAGGGTTGTGCACCTAAAGAAATCCATAATCTGATAAATAATGTTTATGGGGACGTTGTAGTAGACATTAGCAATGTGCAGCATTAGGTGAAGAAGTTTCAAGAAGAAGAAACTGAAATTCCACTTCAACGTCCCCATCAAACATTTTTTAGCCAATTATGGATTTCCTTAAGTGGGCAACCCTCTTTCGCCAGAAATTCAATTACAGTTTGTTATTTTAGCTGCAGATCCATGGTTCTAATCACTCAATCTGAAAAAGAAAAAGCATTTATTATTGGGGTAAGGACACCTTTATAACATGGTACATGAACAGTCACACTAATAGATCTCAAATTACAGACATGGCATCACTTTTGTATTGACCCTCGTATATCATAGTTCTGCAAGCCCATTATTGTTATATTTAAACAATACCAAAATCACTTCCTCCTATGTGTCTGAATGGACACCAATGCCCTCTAACATGATTTCTTTATGACATGTTTTAATTCTGGCTCATGGTTTAAATCTAAGACATTTATTATCTAGTGTTTTCTGACCTTTTTTATTTGGACACCACAGTTAAGTATATAACACTAAAGAATAACTAGAAAAGATACATTATTTATCAGTGTTCCACTGCCTGAAGGATATCACTATGTCTGCTTAACATTATTATGTAAATAATCAGTGCAACTAATACTGATATTTTAGCTATAGATGAACACTTGTGAGACAAATCACCAGCTAGATTCTTTTAATCTCTTGGAGAATCTAATGGAGAGCTATCCCTTTCAGGGTTCTTGGCTGTGTTTCCTAAACTGTGGAGTTACACTCACGCTGCTATAGCAGGTGGGTCCCCTCTCTGTAATGCAAAATAAATGGATAGCAGAGTGAAACCTTGTAAGGGCTTGCAACAGGTGGGTAGCCTTGGGACACCATGTCCTGAAATCTCAGTGCTCATAGCCAAATATGGTGTGTGATGTAACCAACACGTTTTGGGGTGACTGTCCACTTTAGTCGTTATTTACGATTTTTAATATTTACTCTGATAGTGACAACATTTCTCCTATAAATACTTTCCTCATGATGGTAAATCAGAATGATGAAAGCGAAGGAAGGAATGTAACAAAGGGAAGAAAAATGTGATGAAGTCTTGTGAAAATACTGGACTTCTCACTTATGTTCTGCAAGCCTTTAGCCAGGAAAGAAAAAGTGACAGCAGGAGAAAGGTTGATGGATATTGCTGCATTCGAAGGAGCATATGGTGAGTGCACAGACAAATGATTCACTGGTGAGATATGGTTATGCAGAAAGAAAAATAACTTTGCATTACAAGGAAAAGCATTATGATGATATGAGATTTGTTAGCACCAACAAGCTTAAAAGGAAAGGGCAGAGAACACTACCCCATGGCATTTGCATCTAAAAACATATGCACAATTAACTTTGTGAACCCTCTTTGGAGACAGCAGATATATTGTTTCTTGCATACGCTACACAAATAATTTTTAGCTCTAATTTAGAAGACATTTACGGCATTATTAGATTTAGCATGGGTGAAGAACAATGATGTTCACTATGAAAATAATTAATCATCCTTCATATGTGTACCTCCCAACTGTCCTTAACGTGGAGGGGCTGTCCATCTTTTGAAATCAAATCCTGCTGTCCCTCTTTCCCGATCAGATGTCCCTCTTTTTGTTTCCCTGTGTATACTTTAATTAATAATGTATTCTATAACAATTAAAAAATGATACATTTGGGTTTAACCAATCACTTTTTGCAAATTAATCCTTTGTGATCTGGTGGCCGGGGTGTTTTATTTGCTTACAACTTTGTACTATACGGTGTCCGTCTTTATCATCTCAGAAAGTTTGGAGGTATGCATGTTTTTCATCAGTTACTGCATGAAATTGAAGCAAACTTGTAATTGATTGTTGGTTATGAGTTGAGGCCAATGATTTTTCTGAGCACAACATGACTTTTTTTTACAACCCCAATTCCAAAAAAGCTGGGATGCTGTGTAAAATCTACATAAAAACAGAATGCAATGATTTTCAAATCTCATAAACCCATATTTTATTCACAATAGAAAATAGAAAACATATCAAATGTTTAAAATGTAAGAAAATATACCATTTTAAGAAAAATATAATGTAATTTTGAAATTGATGGCAGCAACACATCTCAAAATAGTTGGGACAGGGCAACAAACAGCTGGCAACGTAATAGGTACTAACAAGAAAGAGCTGGAAGATCATTTTGCAGCTAATTAGGTTAGTTGGCAACAGGTCAGAAAACATGACTGGGTATAAAAAGAGCATCTCAGAGAGTCAGAGTGTCTCAGAAGTAAAGGTGGGCAGAGGTTCACCAATCTGGTAAAAGTTGTGTCTAATATAGTTATATATAATATATTATCATCTACAGTTTATACTATCATCAAAAAATTCAGAGAATCTGGAGAAATCTGTGCACAAGTGACATAAGGCCGCAACGCAATACTGGATGCCTGTGATCTTTTGGCCCTCAGACAGCACTGCATTAAAAACAAGACTGATACTGTGATGGACATAACTGCATGGGCTCAGGAATACTTCCAAAAATCCCTGCCTGTGAACACAGTTCGCCCGTGCCATCCAAAAATGCAAGTTAAAGGTCTATCATGCAAAGAAGAAGCCATATCTGAACATGATACAGAAAGACCACCATCTCCTCTGGGCCAAAGATCATTTAGAATGGTCTGTTGCAAAGTGAAAAACTGTTCTGTGGTCAGACGAATCAAAATTTGATATTTTTTTTTACAACCATGGACGCCGGGTGCTCAGAATTAAAGAGGAAAGGAACCTTTTCGGCTTATCAGCGCTCAGTTCAAAAGCCTTCATCTCTGATGGTATGGAGGTGCATTTGTGCATATGGAATAGGCAGCTTGAACATCTGGAAAGGCACCATCAATGCTGAAAGATATATCCAGGTGTTAGAGCAGCATATGCTCCCATCCAGACAAAGCCTTTTTCAGGGAAGGCCTTGCATATTTCAGTAGGACAATGCTAAATCGCATACTGCATCTATGACAACAGCATGGCTTCGTAGTAGAAGAGTCCGGGTGCTTAACTGGTCTGCCTGTAGTCCAAACCTTTCACCAAATAAAAATATTTGGTGCATCTTGAGGGCTTGTTCACACCAAATACGGTGTGTTCCAGAGCGGTAGCTGCTGGAACGCACCGCAATCCTTCACAAAACTTCCCCCTGCATTCTGAGGCGGGAGGGGGGTGTGGTGGTGCATTGAATTAAATGGCAATGCTTCCACACTCCCCCGGTCACAGTGCGATAGGGCGCGTGGCAAAATTTCCGTTCCACTGCAAACGCAAAAAATGCCACTTGCTCTACCGCTCTGGAACGCACCGCATTTGATGTGAACAGCCCTGAAATGAAAAATATGACAAAGCAGACCCAGGACTGTTGAGTAGTTAGAATCTTATATCAGGAAAGCATGAGACAACATTCCTCTCCCAAAACTCCAGCAACTGGTCTTCTCAGTTCCCAGATATTTACAGAGTGTTGGTAAAAGAAGAGGGGATGTTACACCTTGGTAAACATGACCCTGTCCTGACTTTTTTGAGACGTGTTGCTGCCATCAATTTCAAAATTACCTTATATTTTGTTCTTAAAATGGTACATTTTCTCAGTTTTAACATTTGATATGTTTTCTATTTTCTATTGTGCATACAATTTGGGTTTATGAGGTTTGCAAATCATTGCATTCAGTTTTTATGTCGATTTTACTCAGCAACCCAACTTTTTGGGAATTGGGTTGTAATAGATCAATACTATTTTTGTAAAGGGTAAGGATGTTGATCCCAAACAGCAATCATTAATCAGTTTATATTAGGCTGGTCAGAGATGAACAGAAATCTTGCTGAGAAAGACTAGTGGTGAGACATCTGTTCACTCCATAGTGCATCACCACCTGCAGCTATCCTCTGTCCGACTATGCTAACAAGTATTAACCCCTTCGTGACGGGAGACGTACAGTGTACGTCTTGTCACTTTGTGCCTATATGACTGGCCACGTACACTGTACGTGACGAGTTATATCAGGCTTTGTAATGCCTGTATTTGCTGATTCTCAGCATTTAACAGTCATTCATTAATGTCTCAGTATTGAGGCATTAATTAATGAAATAATTAAGCTTTTTGTAAAAGCTTCTTCCTTTCATTAATGAAAGAATGAAGCCGTTACATGCAAATAGAGGACCGCAATTTGCGATCCCGTATTTGACAGCTCAAAATAGCAGAGAGGCAGCAGTGACTCACCTCACCTCTCTGCTATTTGTTTTGACAGCTCGAGAGCCCGATGTTTAGATACATTTCACTGAAAGGATAAAATGTATCTTTTCAGTGAAATGTATCATTTCTGATCGTCTAGGCACGATCAAAGAGCTTTTAGTGAGATCTGAATCTGACTAAAGTCAGGATCAGTCTCTAAGGTTATTATTAGCTGTTCCTAAGTTTGGATCAGCCTAATAGCCAAAAATAAAATAAAAAAGTTAATTTATCAAGCTGTCATAGTGATTGCTTGATATAAACTGACAAGAAAAAAAAAAGTTTTTTTATTTTATTTTTATTTTTTTTACAAAGTGTAAAAAAATTAAAATAAAGTGTAAAACAAAATTAGGAAAATATAAATTATATATAAATATATTTTTTATACTATAATTAATATAAAAAAATTCTAAAAAAAAAAAATAATAATCAAAACTTGTGAAAAAAGTGTTTTCTTGTTTTTTTCCTCATTTTTTTTATTTTATTCAAACTAAGTGAGGGGTTAGGTACACATATGTGATATAATTATATAGCCCTATCTGTCCTCTAAAAAACAATATATAATATGTGTGGGTACATTTAGTAAGAAAGTATATTACTGCTGTGGAAGAACCACACAGCAAAAATGTAAAAAATGTGTCAGTCATTTATGAACAGAACCTGAAAACTAGCTCAGTCATGAAGGGGTTAATGGTGAAATACTTATTACCTTTGCTAGACAGAAAGAGGGATGACCAGCTTCTGATGGCCAGAGATTTTACCACAAGCTGATGAATTTCTTTGTGTGCAATAATGTGCGCCTTCAATGGTCCCCTGACAGCTCACTGCTCATTCAATTATGTTAAGTGATGCCTCAGTTGGCTACAATACTGGAAAGGATTAGCCTGTATATGGTTACCTTTCTCACTAAAGTACAGCTAATTTCTGCAACATGATTAGGACAGCGTACATCATTGTTCTTGACCGCTATATTATTTAACAAAGAGTTGATAGCCAAATTATTAGCTTGATGTCATAACACACTTTGGAGCAATGTTTAACCAAAATCACAGCAAATGACAGCATAACAAGAGTTTGCATCCCATCTCTGTCCATTATTACTTGTCATGTTTTTTTTTGTATTAAATATTTGACCTTCTCTGTCTGTTAAGCTACAACAGAAGACACAGTATGCCAATTTCTGTTTTATGAGTTTTGACCTAATTATGTCTCTCTGTTCTCTGGCACACTTTTACTTAATTCCACCAAAGGTATTTGGTACATCAAGCCATTGAAATAAAATAATCCAAGGTTTAGCAATAAACCTTGCATTATGATATATAGAACATTTGCTCTAAATTAAAAATGCAGTCATAAGAAAACACACAACACCAGCTTACATGCATCATGTGGCATTTTTGCTGAAGAGCATAATGAAAATAAGAAATAATAATACTTTTGCCAGTACATCCAATGTGCTGGCAAAAGTATGGTCATTACTCATTTGACAAATCTTCCATATTTTAGTGCATTGGATGCACGATTGCTGTTAGAGTCTTCCACATGGTACATCACCTGTTCATTTCAATAATGGCTTACATGATGAATGAAAGAAATGCATAGAAATCACTAGTGTTTCTTTGTGCGTATTGCAGTTATGTATTACCCATAGCAGCCCAATCCACTCCTTTTGTTGGTGCTTTGGGCTACATATGGGCAACATAAATTATGGGCAGCATATCCACTTTTTCTTTGTTATACTATTACCATGGCAGTTAAAATGTACATAAGTGCAAAGCATGTGTGCTGATTTCACAATGGTTGCATTACCTGGCAAGTCATTAGCCTTTTCACAGTAAGGAATAGATAACATTAACTAAAAGCAATTAAAATGCATCAGAAATCAGCATAAAGTGTAGTATTGTATAATTAGGTCAACCAAGAATAAACCCTTTGCTCAAATGCTAAATAGCACACTGGGAGTTGATGAAGGTAAAGATTAACAATTAACGAACATGTTTTTTTTTTTTACTTGACTGAGGCTTTTGTGACACTATTATCCTAGGTAAGTGGTAACGTTTCTTATGAAACTGACATTATGGGGTTCATTTTCTAAAGGAAAATAGGCTGTTCACTTTGCAAGGGAATTTTCCCTTAGCTTAGGGAATGGAGTAAAAATTCACTTTGCACAAAATACCTGATCACGTGCAAGGAAAATAAAAATAAAGCAGTGATTGTCAGCACATGATTAGAGGATGGAAGCCAGCAGAGCTTCCCCTCATTCACTAAGCTAAGAGAAAATTCCCTTGCAAAGTGAATATTCCCTCACAAAGTAAACAGCCTATTTGTCTTTAGTAAATCAACCCCTATGTATTACTGTTCAGGGTATATTGATTTTGTTCAGCTAACCGAGAAAGCAAAGAGTAAGGCTTGCATATGTTTTTATATGTAGGCAATGCATGTTAAATAATATTACACAAAGGCCATACCTCTAGTCTGTCTGTTCTCATTAGCTTCTGAGCAGCAGCTGCTGCGGCCGATGGCATACCCACTCCAGGGCTCCCAGCAACAAGCATTGGTGCAGAAGAAAGAATGTCAGCAGGTACAAGACCCGGTGAGACAGGCCCCAGGTATGGGTTGAAGGCTGCTGATGCATTCGTGGCTAGGCTTGGTGCAACTGAAAACATTGGCTGAAAAAAAAAAGATTCCATTATAAAAAGACATGACTTTACACAATCATTTAATTGCTTGAAGTGGGTACCAATGGGAGCTGAGACATTATTCAAGAAATGGTAACATAAACAGACTGTTTCTAATTATGTGGTTATAACAGGTCAGTTTTATAGTGAACAATTATGGCTCAATCAGTAATATAATATTTTAGTTGGAATTTAGAAGAGACAACTTCCAGGGAATCAGCCACTATTGTACTACTACTTGTGCATGAACACTGCAAGGGTTAATAAAGCTTTTCCCTAGAGTTATTTTTTAACCTCTTCACCTTCTCCTCCCTCTGTGTAAGACCTGTACATTAGTAATGCACTGTAGCTAGTGCAACATTACCAGCCTCTGTGTTTTACCTACCTCAATAGCAGAATGCCTCTTCATTTAAAAAAAATGTGGCAAAAAATGTAAACCCCAGTCGTTAATAAATAGCACCACTGAGAAAGCTCAATCTGTCTCAAAAAGTTATATAAAATTAATTTGGGTGCATGCATGATAGAGTAATTGTCATCAAACTTTCACAGCACTGAAAACTGAAAAATGGCCTTATAATGAAGGGGTATATAAAGGCTGGCGCTTTAGTGGTTAATTCTGAATGAGGTGCAATCAACAACAAAAATTCCAATGAAGTGCTGAAATTTCAACTGTGCAATTGTAAACCTTGGTGTCAGGATCCGGATCTGAACCTAGGGCCTCTGCTGTGTCTGGCGGTGCCCCTACCTGCTGAGCAACTCTGAACCCTTGGATAGCTCCTTGCCTGCTCTCATGTGTAATCCTCAGGTGAACCTAGTTTCTGCTGAACTCTGAACTCCTTGCTCCACAATCCTCTCATACTTCTAACCGTGTACCGACCTTTGGCTGCTGATTCACCGACTACTCTCATTGTCTTCTGCTTCATACCTGATACCTTTTGGCTACTGACCTCGGGTTGATCACTGACTACGCTTCTGCTTGCTCCTATACTACTACCATCTGCTTGTGTACCAAACTCGGCCTGTTATACCACAAATTTGCCTGCTGTTTCAGCTATTGGACTCTGAGCCTGAGCCCAGATCATAACACTTGGTTTATATTGGTATTATTCTGGGCTGGAAATTTGTTTAGAATTCTCCCAACATACTCTTGCAAAGAGCAATATAACAAGAGAATTATGTTACACTAAAATCCTTACCGACAACTGAAACCCTTGTTAGGGATGCTGTGATGTTTTGTGCATACCATGATGACAGCATCCCTGGTTACCAGCTAACCAGGAACACTGATCTCCAGACAGCAAACTCTCCCGGGCGCTCCGGGAGTCTCCCGTTTCCGGCCGCTAAGGAGAGAAACACTGCTTTTTCTTTTTTTTTTCGTGTCAGAATAGAGAAAAAAATAAAAAAAATTGGCTATAGGAATTCATTGCTAGATTCCTATTGGCTATTTCAATTTGCAATAGCCAATAGCAACCTAGCATTGCACCTGCCCTCTGCTGCAGTTCTCCATCAGGTCCACCACTACTGATTGACAGCAGCAGTTTCTGCACTTCGGGTCGGCCGAACATGCTGTGCATGTTCGGCTGACCCGAAGCCACTTGAAGCCACCCGATGTACGGCTGATTTCAGCCATATACGGCTAAAATCAGCCATACCAGCCTGAAGCGAATAGCCGAACAGCGTTCGACTCACTTCGCTTTAGGCCGGTCATTCACTCGGCTGCCTATGGCAGCTTAGTGAATAGACCCCTTAATTTCCAGCAGAATCAGATGCCTGCAGGAACCCTGGCCCTTATATCCTAAGCCCTGGCCCTTATATCCTGTTTTAGGGTGGCGTTTTTTCCCTTGTAGGGTCATATGAAGCCACCCTTTGTGTGCTAGTAAGATGTGTGTGTGTGTAAGACTATACGTGGCCATTCATTTGATACCGCACATGCCCGTGGTCCTGTCTTCCGCATTTTAGTGCGCAGGCGAGTGCAGCATAGCGTACTTGCAAAATTATGCTGATGCTGGTGCACAGGATAGGACGAAAACCTCAACTGATAGATAGGTCTATGAAAATCAGCTTGTCCTGTTTATTATTGCTGAACGGTCTTTCAGCTAGAGTGTTGCTTCCTGTTATTCTGCCCGTTAGTTTACCTGTTGCCTTGACCCGGATTGCATCTGACTATGCCTGATTGCTGCCTGCCCCTTGACCTCTGCTTGCTCTTGGATTAGACTTTTGACTTCTGCTCCTGTACCTTGCTACCCGACTGGTGTGACCTCTGGCCTGTCTGACTTCTTTTTGGCACCACACTGACCTCCCAGCTGGATCTTCGTCCTCTCTCACCTTCCTTGGAAACCAGCTTCTGGACCTGGCATGGTGTCTATTCACCTTTTGGCACCCATGATACCTGCCCTCTCACTTCCTGTCTCAACTCTCAGGGGTGCTGGACAAGAGGTGCAAGGGAGGCCTCCTCAGCTAATTTGGTCTTCTTCCCTTGTTCCAAACTAGTAGATGGAAGGCTTCTGGATATTGTGCTGACCCTTGTGATCATGCACTGGACAGGACATTAAGGGAAGCTGAGCTGAGAGAGTTGTTCATAAACATGATAACTAAGTGTTTGGGCAAAAATGTAAAGAAATACTTTTCTGAGCAATTAATATGTTATATGAATTCATTATTTTAAAAAAAGTTTGAGCGTCTGATACTACTTTATGTGGGAGACTTTCTGCTGTATTCTGCTTGAAAGAGAACCTAAAAGTATAGTCAGAAGGTTAATAATGCAATCTGCATGTTTAAAGGTACCCACAGACAGCAATCTGACCAGCGTCAGTCAACTGTTCAGTTTGTGCAGAATGGAGGTGCATGGAGATACCCCACAGCTTACCGGGGGAACATTTAACAATAACAATATTAAATAAAAGCTGTCTGTGTCACTCTTTGCCACCAATCATATTCAAGCTTTTAAATGATAACTGTCACCTTGAGTTTAAAAATGTGAAACTTGTTGGAAAACATAGTAGGATACAATGGTTCCATCATTCAGTTGAAGCCCTCATATTGCACACTGTAATTGTGGCAGACTCAGGCTTACTTACCATTAGAATACTGTATAAAGTATCAACCAACATCTTCTTATGACAAAGCAGAATATATTCCTGGTTCTCCCAATACATATGTAAGTTACGTTATACCTTTCTCGTCTGATATCATTAATAATCAAATACGGCCCAATGAACACTATATTTTTAAGATTATTTGTAAATAAGGTCTCTTGTAATTTTGTATTGGTTATGGTTATAATCCAGATTTAACCATATTATGATGTGGCAACTTTCTTACATTTATGACCATTTTCATTGGTCTTCTCATTTCTCTTACAAACACCGTGCACAACACAGAGCCTGTCTATCACTGTTTTATTTTAGGAATGAGCAGATCATGATTTTAATGGCAAACACTCTTTATCAAGTGATCAAACTGTTGTAACTAACTCCCAGGTTTCACACACAAATGCAGCTCTCATCATTGCAATAGGGGAATTACTATGAGTACACAGTCGGGTGCAGTTTGTCCTAGGCTGTGCATATACCAATATACATCACTGCCAAATTAAATATATGTGTATTTATTGCCAGCTAAACATAGATGCTGCACAAATGTCCTAATAAACAAGGCAGGCCTGCTCACACTGTTAAACGTAAATAACAAAAAAGAAGCCAAGTTTTATTACAAGTATCCCACTGATGTACTTACCATATGCTGGAGTTGAGTACCAGGAATCATTGCATTGGCTAGCTGCATTTGCTGGGCCAGCATGGCCATGTTCTTTTGTTGAATCAGGTTATTCCGTCCATTTATCTCTAACTGTGTTTTTAAATGTGGTGGCGGATGGAGATATTTACAATTCTCCCGTGAACAGCGACCCTTGGGGAAGAAAAAACAAAGAGCTGTCAGTATAAATTGATGTGATTTTTGTGTAGATATGAAAAACTGAACATAAATGCTTTTGCTGTTTTGAAATATATCCACATGCTGTTCACATGGATTGTTCTTTCCACATAGCACGTGTAAAGAGGGATATTTTGCACACTCATAACTGACATCCTGTCCAGTTATGCCAACTAGCTGCCACTTTTGTATCACTTTTAATGGTCTGAAAGTTACTGCTTAAATACCTTCTTCTAAAGTTAATTTTTACTATAAGTTGCCTTTTTTTTCTCTTCTCCTAATGAATAAGAAACATGTAGATGTATCAGTATCATAAAATGACTTATTTACATGACAGATGTACCAGATTTAGAGAATTGCAAGTGCATACCTCTGTAAGAGCAAACAATATTCATACTCTAAACAATTTATGTCTGATAAGATATAAGAAATAAAGCTAAACACCCTGGACCCTAGGACCCTTAAAATTGGTCACTGCTGACCTATTGACATCATAGTGATTAATACCATCTGAATAATTTCTGGTTTCCAAACTTGTCACATGTCACAGATCTGTACATTCATGACGCAACGTAATGTATGATAAGACCCTTATATAATCCATCCTGTATGTGTGGGTTATACATCTTGTTAATGCACTTTTGTGTAGGAGAATCCATGGTTACATACTCCATAAGTAAGGACTTGGCCACTCTCAGCACTGTGCTTGCTGTTCTTCCCTCAAACAAGAAGCCCATGCTTCTTTTCTAGTTTTACATGTCAGTACATTTATTTACCCAGCATGTCTGTTTTACCATCTATCTGCAAATACAGTTTACAAAAAATCTAAATAATTATTCCCAAACTCCCCCGGTTCATCACCACAACTGGCATCTCTATATCTGAACGTGCATGCAGAGTTGAAAAGACATGTCATGCTGTAGTTAAAATCAGCCAAAAAAGCAATTCTTCTGACAAAAAATCCATACCCACCCAGAGCAATAATGTCTTCAGTCTGAAAGCACATCTAAATTACCAGTATGCTCATCTATCACACAGCACAAGGAGGTTAATACCAATGATAAAGCATTCTGACTTGCACAGGTCAGGTCCATGAACTAAAAACAGCAAAAATATCTCTTGAGAAATCTGCAATATATGTTTGATGTAGCGTTTAACCTGCCATATATAGCCAAAACAATATACAGGATAGATTATAGATAGACAGATAGATAGATAGATAGAAAGAAAGAAAGAAAGAAAGAAAGAAAGAAAGAAAGAAAGAAAGAAAGAAAGAAAGAAAGACAAAAAGAGAAAAAGTCACTCAATGCATGCAACTCTGGAAAATAAGTATTCTCAGCTGTAATCTTCATGCCCTCCTAACAAACCTGTATTTAATTGAATTGTTAAAGGAGAACTATGAGGTGAGTGAAAATCCTCATAGTTAGAGCTGCAGTGTGACAATTAAACTGTCACACGTCGGCTCTATTGGTCGCGAAGTGAGCGAACACATACTGTCGCTCACTCACTGTCAGTCACTACTCCCTGCTGAGATCCCCCCCCGCTCTCTTATCCTCCAGCGCTGACTGGATGAACAAACAGGGGAGGGGGCAGGCACAGCTGGCTTTGCCATTAGATATGCAGATCCCGCTGTCAATCAGCTAGATGGGTGGATCTCGACAGTTTTGTTGGGATCCGTCCTGGCTACGGCACACACAGCTCGCTATATACTGAGCTTTGGGTCATGGAAGGAGGTTAGTATATGTCCTTCCTTGACCCTTAAGAGAACTATGGGATAAAAAGTTTACCCCATAGTTCTCTTTTAACTGTATTGTCCCCCTCCATTTTGTAAAGTGTTGGTGCTTTATAATAATATAATAATACAAATAATAATAAAGCAGCTTTGCATGCAACACACCAGGCCATACTATGCAACAGACACCCCTGTAGGTGCTACTAGTGCCTGGGGGTTATCTACAATCTACCTTCTGTATTTCAAAGGTTTTATTAGTTTCCATCTTATACAGAAAACAGTTTGTTACATTCACATGTCATATGTAGCTCAGAAACATATCAGATACGCCTATGATCTCAGCACTGTATCCCCTCTCCCCGTCTTAACTCTAGTGCGTGCTGTTCTAAACTTGTTGGCTGCACATCATTCAGACTAACAAACCTCTAATTCCTATCAGTGGGGTAATGTGATGATAATTTCCATTTTATCATTAGGGATACCATTATTAAATACTGAGGTTACATATGATAAAGTCCCTTGGTGGGCGCGTTCACACTGCACACCAAGGGTCCAAAACGGAAACATGGGTTTATAGAAAAAAAGATAGAGAAAAAGAGAAAGGGTCCCATACTGCATGGAAATTTGGGTATCTATCCTGTAAGATACTATGCAACTTCTCATGTGTCATGATCCAATTTAATTTAGATAGTACCATTGAGAATGGGACCCTTTTAGCTTTCCAGGACCGAGCTATTGATGTCTTGGCTGCTAGGAAAAAAAAGAATAATAGTTTGCCCTGCACCTTTGAGATCCCCATAACTGGTTTATTCAAAAGCAGATGCTGGGGGTCTCTTGGAACATGCACCTGGAAGATCCTTAAAAGCAGCGCAAAAAAGCGATTCCAGAAGGGACACAGTTTTGGGCATTGCCACCAAACATGGACCATCGTGCCCTGCTGATTACATCCTCTAAAACTTAAAGGACTGGACCCTGGAAACATGGTAGCTATCCTTGCTGGAACCAGGTACCATCTAGAGAAGACTTTGTAGTTGGCTTCTAATAGGGAAACATTAAGCAACCCCATAGTTAATCTCATGGTACACTGTTTCCATTCATCTGTAGAGAGAACTTCCCTTAACTCAGTTTCCCAAGCATCCATTTAGGACAATTTAGTAAATGGGCCCAGCTGAGCCGTGTAAATTATAGAGATCCCCCCTCCTAGACCGGGGGCTCCTAGACACTATCTTCCGTACAATGTCCACAACGGAGTGCCAGCGTCAGGTATCTTCAGCGACTGTAGGAAGTGCTGAATTTGCCTGAACCTGAACATTTCCGATTGTGGCATCCGGAGAGTATTTTGGCAATAGGATAGAGATATTAGTTTGTGACCCTTAATTAAGTCTCCAATTCTGTACAGGCCTTTATCGATCCACCATTGGAACGCTTTGGTGTGCAATCCCGGTTGAAAATTCACATTATTGAACAATGGTGCCAAAAGTTTACCCCATAGTTCTCTTTTAACTGTATTGTCCCCCTCCATTTTGTAAAGTGCTGCACAAAGTGTTGGTGCTTTATAATAATATAATTTAAAAAATAATAATAAAGCAGCTTTGCATGGAACACACCAGGCCATACTATGCAACAGACACCCCGTGTAGGTGCTACTAGTGTCTGGGGGTTATCTATTATCTACCTTCTACTGTGAAATTTGAATTGAAGAGGTTAATTGGATACCTTGCTACTTCATCCTAATGCATGTCAAAACTTAAAGTAAAAGTACACTGATGTGAACAAAAATGTTTGTTCTAGATAAAGACCCCTCACTTATTCATCACTTTTCTTTACTGTTAATCACATGGGGCCTTTCATAATCCCTGCCCTATCCATCACTCCTTTTATTTGCTTAAACATGTCTAGGGCTTAATTTAGAGGAGCAAAACTTCCCTTCACTCTGAGGCATCCAGTCCAGAATGTGTGAACTACTAAGGAAAACTATGGGGTCTATTCACGAAGCAGTTGAAGGATCTAGCCGTAGCTTTGGCTGATCCTTCGCCTAGCTTCGGCCCCAGAACCCCTTCGGTTCAGTAGAACCGAAGGGCAGCTATACGGGCTATTCCATTTAGGCCGTACAGCTCCCCAAGTTGGCAGGGCGGCTCAGTTGAGCCAAAGGCATATGCCTCGGCTCGACTGAGCCACGCTGAAAGCCGAAGCTGGCCGAATGGCCGGCCATTGGCCGGCAGCCTGCTTCTGACAGCTGGGCGTAGCCAGCCGTCAATATCACGGCTGGCTCCGGCCACTTGCAGAGAGATCAGCGTCCCTGGTTACCAGCTAACCAGTGACACCGATCTCCAGACAGCAAACTCTCCCGGGCGCTCCGGGAGTCTCCCGCTCCCGGCCTCCCAGGAGACAAAACACTTTTTCCAAGAAAGGTTTACTCTGCTCGATCGAGCAGAGTAAAACTTTCCCTGTTTTTTTAATGTATTTATTTTTATTCTGACATGGAGACGTTTGCTGCGGTCATAATTAAAAAAAAAAAATCACCATAGGAATGCATTGCTAGATTCCTATTGGCTATTTCAATTTGCAATAGCCGATAGCAAACTAGCTATTGAACCCGCTCACTGCTGCTGTCAATCAGCAGAGGGGACCTGCAGTTCTCCATCAGGTCCCCTCTAATGATTGACAGCAGCAGAGAGTGGGTGCAATAGCTAGTTTGCTATTGGCTATTGCAAATTGAAATAGCCAATAGGAATCTAGCAATGTATTCCCATGTCGAAATTTTTTTTTTTATGGTAGCAGAACCGCCGGGCCAATAGAAAACAGTTGGGCGGAGCTAGCTGTCACTGCTAGCTGTCACTGCCAGCTTCGCACAATCGTTTTCTATTATTTATTTTTTTACTTTTTTAACTATTTTTCTGTTCTGCTCGGTCCCACAGAGGGCATTCGCTCAGCGGCATTCGGCTATTCACTCACTGCTGTTCGGCATCTATAAGAATAGACCGAACAGCAGCAAGTAGCCTGCCGGAGGTTCGGCTTAGCCGATCCAGATGTTGGATCGGCTGAGTCAAACTCCTTCTGCACTTTGGGTCGGCCGAACATGCTGAGCATAGTCGGCTGACCCGAAGCCACTCAAAGCCACGCAAAGCCACGTGATGTACGGCTGATTTCAGCCGTACCAGCCTGAAGTGAATAGCCGAACGGCAGCTTATTGAATAGACCCCTATATTTTACATGGGTCAATTTTTTTATTTTTTTTCAACTT